ATATATAATTATATATATATATATTATTTATATTTATCTTTAAATTAATATTAATTTTAATTAAATTTATTAATATTTATTATAAATATATTACAATTTTTTTTAAAAAAAAATAATGCCGTACATGAGAAAAACATTCCATGTGTCGTAAGTTTGGGGTGCATCATTTTTCCTAAATTCTCGCATAAAATGGCTCTTGTGACATGTCCATGTGTATTTCGAGTGCGCAGATTCACACAAAATGCGCGGCTAACTTGTGGGGCACGATTCCCCAAACAATGTGTCCATACTAAAGGGTTCTTACGATACCTTCTGGTGTGACAACATTATTGCATGCTGTGGTTGCGTGCATGAATCCCCTTGCCTTCTGTGGCTCCTGGTTGCAGCTAGCACTGTGACAGATCTTCATTCCGGTTGCTGCACGAAAACTGCTGAGCTGCACACACGCGCTCCATGCCAACTCTGCTGTGCTGCGTTTGGAAAACAATGCTTTACTGCACCTAAGTCACCTAACCTATTGCTCTCAATATTCCAATCCCCAAACACTATTTTCTTGCGTTTTTCATAGGTTCGATGTCAATATGTCCACAAATTTCTTGTAACATATATATATATATATTTAATGTTCCTTTCACGCTACCATCTATATAATCCTTTTCCGCACATTGTTTAGGGCCTCTTGCCAGGATAATATATTTATAAATCTATATTTCTACAAATAACGGACAAAATATCCTGTATAAATTAGATTCGTCCCCTATTAGTTATATTATTTTCAATATTTCCTGAGATATCGCAAATAAGATCAAATAAAATATTGGTATAGGCAGGGTCGTCCCCTATCGATTATAAAGATTTGGTGAAACCTCAGAAAAGCCAAGGTGAAGCAAAACTAAATTACTATTACCAATATTTAAATGGTTAAAACCAATATTTTATAGTAAATATAGATTTATAAATATGTCTATTTTAATGATTAATTACTCATATTTATATTTTATTGTAAAACCAATTCCCTCTAGATCTACTTCCAAGGATTTTTTAGGTCAAGTTGACTAAGGCTGGAGCGCAGGCTTCTTGCGAACTCGGCACCAACATCAACCACATATCTAATGCGATCTAATATGATCATAAATAAAATGTCATCAAATATCATGAAGTATCATAACATATTGGGAAATATATTGAAATCTATATATATATAATGACATATATTATGAAATATATCATGATATAAATTATGATGAAATACAGGAAGAGGGGAAGAGGACCGTCATGGCATCCCTTAGCCGTCCCTTGTTTTTGTTCCGCCCTTCCTTTGAACGCCATAAATCTTGAGCGTTTTCTGGAACCAAATTTAGGCAACATACCCGGATAATGTTGTATTTAGGTTGCATTTTAATGGTCAGAAGATGTCAGAAGTATTTGCACATCAGGAAATTAGAGATGTAGTTCCCAATGTAAATGCAGGATTTTCCCAACAACTATCCTGTTGGGTTTCAATCTCTTGGGTGGGGAGTGGTGCCAAGAGAAATGCAACCTTGGAATCTTAGAACCATGTAATCCTGGAACCTTGGAGCCCTGCAATCTTGGAACCCGAGGATGGGCTTAAATACAAGTAGTAGCCGGGCAAGCCGGGAGCAGAAGTTTCAAAAATGAAACCTTCTCAGCCCTTTGCAGTGACTGTTGATTTCAATTCTGTCGAGACTCTGCAACACGGGAGTATAGACTTCTAAACTTGCTTTGATCAATGACTCACATAAAATATATGCCCAACTAAATGCACCATTGAAAACATCTAGGTAACTCCGTGAGATGCTCAGTTCCGCATGTAAACGCTGCATTTGTAATAAATTCAATCAAAAAAACATGGATGCTGCAAAATCCTGCATTCAGCTCGCGGAAAGGAGAAAAGAGACGACTTTCCAGATTTGCTCTCCCGCAACACAATTCGTCAATTTAGGAAAAAAAATACAACTTTGTCATTTGCCTGAACCATGAAATATCCCAAAATATCTCGACATATTATGACATGTATTGAAATATCATGAGATCTCATCAAATACTGTATCATTAAATATCATAAGTTAGAAACACATATTATCACATATCAAATGCAATCAAATATAATCAATCAGCAAATATCATCAAGTATCATCGGATATAATCAAATATCATCAAATACAATCAAATATCATCAAGAATCAAGAATCATCAAATATCATCAATCAAATATAATCGAATGCTCATCATCAATTATAAGCAGTTATAAGCCACATATCATGAAATATCATGAACTATAATGACATATAATAATGAAATATCATGTCATATCCAGTGTCTAACAGCCAACCACTGCTGTTTAACAGCTTTTGTCATCTTTTGTCTCTCGTAGAGCTTCGTGCATTTCTACGTGACGCCTTGGGCGCGGCCCCATACATTGCAGGACCTAAGATTTACTCTGTGCACTGGTCCCCAGGGGAAAACGTCCGGAGGCATTCATCAAGAAACCAACAAGTCAGTATATGGCTGGAAAACATATAGCACTTACACAATATAGATCAATAATGATCAATATAGTACCATAGTACATACTATTCATAATGACAATCATGGTAACACTAGCAACTGTCATAATAATGCTAGCAATCATAACTATCATAGTAAACATCACAATGTGCTTGTAACTGACAATGCCTCAGGGCACCAGGACAGTCTGTTCAAAAATGTTTTGCAAGCCCTTGGTTGACCAGGACCTGTTTGATCTATTATCTATGTGTATGTATATATATATATATATGAAGGCCATGGGATTTGTCCCAAAAATGACCAATCGACGACAAGGGAGAATTCTCCACGGCTCTCACTTAAGGAAGGAACCGCAGGCCATCCAACTCAGCCAACTCTGCTGGACTGGAAGGCGCCTCTCCGCCGTTCATCTCCTGCAACCAACAGTCTTGGGGAGGCCATAAATCATTACGATACAACCAACAGATCCTGAGGAGATGATATGACATAAGTTGACATAAGCCTAAATCACCAAGAACAAACTACGAACTGGTGGAGCTGGTTGCTGGTGTCCAACTCATCGAAAAATCTCAACCAGAAAGCTATCCTTCGGCAAAGGTACATCTCATCAGATGTTTTGCTCCCCGGTCCCCGTCCCTTTTCTGTGCCCTCTCCGGAGCCCATCCTCAGGAGACAACTCGTAAAACTCAACGCCAACCTCTTGCAACATGGCTTCCAATTCAAGGTCTTCGTCTGGAACGGATGCAGCCTTCAGGGCCTGCACCTCAGGGAGAAAATCTGGACATTTAAGATCATTTAAGAACATCGCAAATTAGTTCATGCTCCCATATGCTCCCACATTTGTTGATGGTTTTCCCAGTTATACACCTCCATTTAGTTCGGGGATTTCCCAGCGGCCCACCATATTTGATGGCGGGTAATTCATGGTAATTCATCAACCCAGACACCTCGACTGCGTTGCCCTGGGTCTCGGCTTTCTCATGTGCTTCATCCTCCAAAACCTCGCAACGTCTTTTCGCAAGTGGAGCCATCTGGATTAATGGTTATCTTTGGGTTATCATCCCACAACTATAGTAATCCAATGTAATCCATATTTGGCTAATTATCCCATTTAGTTGTGGATCATACTGTTATAAACATGTTACTTTTACTCACGGTCTGGTCGCAGAGAAACACCTAAAAAAAAGGAACAAGTGATAACAAATGCGTGAATGACATGAAGATGTTGCATAGAAAGAAGAATCGACGGTAAAGTAAAAGAAAATGTCAGGATATGTCAGGATACTGGAGCAAAAACTGAAGACGTGCAAACGTGAGAGCAAACGCCGATACGGTCAAATCTCTCATGCGATTTTACATGCAAACCGTATTGGAAGTGCAGAGCCGTCCATAAAATTTCGCAAACTCATATTTGCGTGTCTGTGCAGCGCTTTTGCTCCTGGAAGCCCTTTTGCAAGCTCTCCCTGGAAACATCAGCACTATTGAAAGCAAAGAGAGGACTATTTGTTTGAGATGTGTAGATGGTGCCTGTGAGAACGCGGAGCATGTGTTTTTGAATTTGAACGAGAGATGCGCCACCTTTTCCATAAAACTTGAATTAGGGAGCTGGGAAGAGATGTGCCAGTTTGGGTATGTGCAACAAGACACTGTTGAAATGAATTGGCACATCCTATTGGCCTGTGCATTGGTATGGTCCAAAATGTTTCATTCAAATGTCCGCGAGATAGAGCGTGTTAAGCCTTGTTCAACAAGCAGATCTAAACGAGATCGGAATGGCTCTGAACACTTGCCTTTTGTGCTCACATTTGCTTACATGTTCAGAGCCACTTTCGATTTTTGGAAGGAACTCCAGCAGAACAACACAAAAAGGCGAAGAGATACTGCATAGAGAATCTCACATATGTAAACAAGCAAAAAACATCAAAAACAAAGTAAAACCGAGACTATGGGTTTGTCTAATTGAAGAGAAACACTCCATCCACTGCTTAATCAACATTTTCCTCATATTTTCTATTAAAAATAACAATTTGGAGATTTGCATTTGAGAGGTGCAAACTGCACATAGCTGGGTACAGAGCCGCTTCCGGCTGCATATTTATTAATATGTACTGTATATTATTGTATATCCTAGTATGCTATGATACACTATCTAGATCTATCTAGCATTTTTGTTGATTGTTGTCATTATCTATCGATCGATTCATACCTCCATACATCCCTGCATGAATTCATGCGTCCGTTCATCCATTGATCTATCTATCTAATTATCGATCCATTCATCTACAGTATCTTTAGCAATGTGCAACTTTGTGCCACCACATATCACCTTTAATCCATGTGAATCCTACTTATCATACCCCTGTCCAATGTCATCCTCTACCGTTTCCTGCTTTGAGCAGTGGCACATCCACTGCGCGCTGCACTGAACGAAGCCATGATGATCCCTTGATCCATCATCCACGATCAGGATAAAATCAGATAAACTTCATTAACTTTCACCAACCAACAGTATGACTTGCTGCATCCAACAATCTAAGCGAGGCCCAACAATATATTATACTAAAAAGTGGTCAGCGGTGGCAAAAACAACCTAACTGCAAGGCAACTCCACAGCCTTTTCCTGCCTGCCTAGGTCCGAGCACCAATGCTACGATCCGTTGGAAAATGAGTTTCGAAGTCACCTGGGCAAGTGCACGATTTGACACCAGCCCCCTTTGGAGTTCATTGCTCAGGTGACTGTTTCTTCTTGGCCTCATAAACACGCTTTCTCATTGCTGCCGCTTCTCGTAATTCTTGAGCTTCTGGCGTGTCAACCAAAGACCATTCTCCGGTTTTCATCACTTTCTCAAGCACTCCGTTTCCGTTCCATTTCGTCAAACCATCGCTGATCATTTCTTTTCCAGGCATCCACCTCACATAATTCTCACAGCTAAGTTCAGTCATTGCTTCTCTCAAAACTGCAGCATCTATCATGATCTTTCGATCAGCAGTTACTCCTTCATTGTTGAGCACATCATATCCTGTCTTGGCATCGATCACCAGGTAATGTTTCCACTTGCTAGAAAACCATTTCCAGTCCTGCAAACTGAACTGGTGATCTAACAGTTCTGCCATCACTGCCCTAGTGAAATCGCCGTGCTCAAAGGCTGTGGCTGCCATAGATAGTTCCGCACTCATACTGCATCTCACCACACGGTTGATGCGAACGCTTTGAGTCTCTAAAATGACTGTCGGTGCCTTCTGCTGCAGAATTTTAGGATGCCCAATCAGGCAAGTCACTCCGCCTTGGCTGCCTTGTCTCGGTTGGGCAGCAAAGGCTGCATCACTTGCTGACACGACGATGACCTCATCCAAGCCACAGCCCAGCTGACTGATTTTTATCTCCATGCTCTGTCGAGCTCTCTGAAGAAGTCGCTTCAGCCAGACAATCGCTTCTGGGTCGCCCAAACCTGCCAACTGCTGACAATGAGAGACACCGTACATCAGATCTGGACGCCCTTGCCGACCTGCCCAACTAATTTGACCAAGCAAAGAACCAATCTCCTTCTTGATAGATTCAGTGAGGACCTTCCCGTTAAATTCAATAGTGCCCTTGGAGATTTCGGGGTTTTTCTTGACATACTCATTCATGGAGTAGTAGAACTCAAATGTTTCGGGATCTTGACGCTCCCACCTGCCGCAGAATTTCTGCCAACCATCGGTGGCTTTCCGCAGAGCTCCAAACTTCAGACGCTTGTGCAACTCATCCCAAAGTTCTTGAGCGGTACTATCTCCAGCATATCTGGTGTCATCCACATGAATGCATACCACCGCTCTCAACTCGCCATTGGGATGAAAAGCCCGAAACATGCCTGGAACCAATTTGAGCTCCCACAGCCCCAGTTCTTTCAACGTGGCCTTATACTCAAGGTACCACAAACGAGGACTTTCTGCCAAACCAAAACCTCCTTTCAACAAACGCAAAAGATCAACTCGGAATCCTGCACCAAGAAGCTTCCTAATCTCATCCTTGACATACTCAGGATATCCACCAGGAAGCCGAACATACACTTCTCTTTCACGTGGCAAAGGTTTGCCTTGCAAGAAAGCAGCTGAAACATCTTCGTAGTAAACAGTCCAGCCCATCTGTACTGCTACAAAATTCAAAAGATTGTGCCCTAGCAAGGATGAAGTTGGTGCCAAAGTCGGATGGTTCCCTAGCTCTGGGTCCTTGTGTCCACCCAGAATCCACCTTGCCTTCAACTCTGCTCCTTCCAAATTCTCCTCACCTTTGTTTGTCAGCACAAATCTTGAATTGAGAATCTTGCGTGGGTCTATCATGGCATCCTCCTTCACACCTTCTAATGCCTCATGTTCAAAATAGACTCGGACTGCCTTGAGAAGAGGTTGTTGGTATGCTGCTTGCCATGCTGCATCAAGCTTGTTCCATTGATATTCCAGTCTCTGTTTGCCTGTGATTACTTGTGAAATCTCGACTGACATCTGTTGTTCTGCTTCTATTCGTTCCTTCTTTTGTCTCAAAATCTCTTCTTCCCATGCACCATTGCCATTCCTCCACTGTGCTCCGAAGACTTCTGCTTCCTGAAGCAGCTGTTGCATTTCCTTCAAACGACTTTCTTTCTGCTGGAACGTGTCTATGTCCCATGCCACATGGAAGATAGAGTGTTTTGCCTTTGACGCCTTTCTCCTACCAATCTCCTTTTCTGCCCAACGCATTCGCTTTCGTGTGACTTTCAACTTCCGCCACATGTCTTCAAGTTCACTTCTCAGCTCTGCCTGGGCCATAGTGCTGGCTTCACCCTTCTTGCCCTGCATATCTTGAAAAAGTTTCTGTTTCTTCACAAAGGGCAAGAGATGTGGTTCCACCTCCTCCTCCTCCTCCAACGCACCCTTCTTGTCCCTTCTCAAAGCTTGGGGAACATCGTGCTGCATCTCTCGCCTGGCTTCCCATCTTTGGCGAGCTGCTTCATCATCCTCTGAGGATGTCAGGGACGGGGGGACCGCCACTTCGTGCGGTTGGCTGGGTGCTGCTGCTGAGGCAGATGCTTGAGCTTGTGCTGTATGTGGGGCTCCTCGCCCCGGCCGGGGCTCCTCAGTCTTCCGGCCGGGTGCAATTGCTGCAGAGGGTGTTTGCTTCTTTGCTTTAGGCCGGGGCTCCTCCACTGCCGACCTATGCCTCGCAAGTTCCATGAGTGTCATCTCCAGCTCGTCCGGGGATGGTGGGGGCTCCTCAGTTCTTCCACCATGAGCTGTTGGAACCTGCTTCATCACGGGGGGCTGTACCTTAGTCTGCACCGGTGTCTTGGGGGCTGCCGCTGCCGGGGTGCTGGGGGAGACCAATGCCTTGGTCTGCGCTGGTGTCTTGGGGGCCGCCGCTGCTGGTGTACTGGGTGAGGCCAATGCTTTGGCCTGTGCTGGGGTGGTTGGGGCTGCCGCTGGTGACTTTCTGCCGTCCTTCAACTGCTTCATCCTTTGCTCCCTTCGGGTGTCCTTTACCCGCTCCTGCTCCACCACCTTGAGCCTTCCCTCCTCCAGTTCACCTTCAACTTCTCTCAGGGCACCCACGATGAACTCCGCACTTACCATCTCATCTGCAGTGGCCAAACGTATCTTCTCCAGCGGATACGCCTTTACCTTCGACCTTATCCTCACCCACACCCTGTGCGGTATGTTCTGATCCTTCTCCACACACACTATCACCCCTGGCCCATTCCACGACACATCATCTTGCATCCTCCTGGCCAAGCCCTTGCGTGAAGTGGGTGGTTCATACACATACACGCATGTCCCTTCCTTGAGGCCCTCAAACTTCGGTGGCCTTGATCGTGCATTGAGTGCCTTTCTGAGCCCTTCGTGTGCATCCACCCAGTGACATGCTTCCACCGCTGCCGCCCTGATCCTCTCGGCTCTCCTCAGAGCTTCATCTCTCGTCAACTCTTGATTCAATCTGAATTTCATCTTGCCACTGTAAAGCTGAGCCATGAGGGATGCCGGCAACGGCGAGTTCCGCCCAGTCACTGCCTGCAGTGGGCTCATGCCGCCGGCATTGCACATACGATTCTTGGCCGCCAACGCATAGGTCAATGTCCATTTCATCTCTTCCATGGTCTCAATGCGAAGAGCCGTGATGATCTTCATCATGATGATCTTCACCAAAGCGCCGTGACGCTCCGCATGGCCCATCCGCCACTTTGCTTGATCTGGCACAACTTCATGTTGAACACCACACATGTCATTGAGTCGGGCTAAGGCACCACAAAATTCCTTGCCCCCATCAGTCACCAGGACATCTGGTGTTCCAAAAACACCATACCATTTGTCGCGCAACACCCGCGCAGTCCATTCCGAAATGGGGTCAAAGGTGATATCCCCCACCTGGTAATCTGTGAGTTCGTCAATGAAGTGGCAAATCGTGTACCGCAAGTTCTTGATATCCCACACATGAAAGCAATCACCAGAAATCCGCTGATTGAAGTTGGAAGGTTTATTGTAGGACACCTGTGGTTTGGAAGAGGGAGGCTTGACCATCGCACAAACCTGACATCTCATGTTGTGAACACCCAGCAGAATTTGTCTACTTCCTCCAGCAAGGCTCAGCATCCGTGCCAGCCGTTCATTCGACAAATGCCCCATGGTGACATGTAGATGTGCTAACATGGATCTTATCCTCCTCGGCAATGCTCGAGCTTGTCCCTCAAATGTGACAAAGTCATACCTTTCACCGCCTATCTCCTTCAACTGATTCCTCAAAGCCTCTTCAGGAGTGACCACCTCCTCAACCGCATGAACAAACCACTGATCTCCACCGCATGGCTCATGCAACTTGATTCTCTCGGGCTGTGGGCTCAAAGTGCCCGAAAGGACCTTCTCCGCTGTGCTTAGGACATGACTTGCTAATGCTGCTGGCCATCTCCCGGCCAACTCTGACCTCTTGTGCCACTGCCCTTCATACTTCACCGTGCCTTTGACCTGCTCATGCTGGCTGGGGGCATGATTGCACCTCTTCACCTGAGCCAACTGATCTGCCCACATTTTGTTATTGACATCCAAGGCCGTGGCCTTGCGATAAAACAAGTGAGACACTGGATCCTTCAATCCGAATTGACATTGATCCACAATCACTCGGTGGACCTCCTTTCTGTTGAGCATGTAACTGAGGTTCAGCGCTTCAGAAGTCTCTGGCTGCTCGGTCATGGCCAAACGCCCCTGTTTAGTCTGCTCCTCCCAAATGTCCGCCACCAACTTCCAAAACGGGAGCTGCAATCTTCTTTTCTCGGCAAGGGCTTCCATGTCCGCAGCCTGGTTTTGCCACAAACTCCAGGGCCCACACGGTGGTGTCATGACCACCAAATCTGGCTCCCATCTCCTCACTGCTTCTAAGAGAGCCTCTCTGTTCTTCTTATTCGCCAAGTCATGACTCGTCCCGCCCAACAAAATGTCTACGGGCTCATATGCTTTCCAACCTTCTCGGGTGAGGGCTACTGAAGTGATTGTGGCCTTTCCTGCAAAGACCTCGAGCACCGTATATTTGGTCTCCCACTTTCCCACACCCTGAACCAAGGCCAAAACAGCCAGGGCGCAGAGCACGGCCTTCTTCATTTGTTGTGTCAGCCCTCGGCGGGGTCTTCCGATCTTTTCCTTCACCGTCTCCATCTCCTCATCAGTCACATCAGCTCCCAAGCTTTGGGAGTCCACATCTGCTTCCGCATGGCCCCCATATGTCCCCAAAGGGCTGCCACTTCTTTGCCCATGAGGATAGCCAGCCAGCGGCGATTCCTCTTCCAGGTCGCTCCTGGATAGGTTCTTTCCACCGCCTTCTTCACCCTCAACTGCCACAGCATCTTCTTCCACAAAAACGTGGACATCCTCGCCTTCACACTGGCTGCCAGATTCAGAGCCACCTCTTGGCTCCAGCAATGCGAGAGACTGGGATAATTTGCTTGTTCCCCCGTGAGTGCTGCCTTCTCGCCACGCTTGGCCTGGGATTTGGCTGCTTGCTCCACTTTCTTCTCTCTCTTTTTCTTCAGCATCTCGAGCTCCTGCGGGGTGGGCAGGAACTCTCCGCTCGCCATGTCGAAGTATTGGGTGATCTCCTCCTGTGATCCCACTTCCCATGCCGCTGAGCTGCTCATCGCATCCACTGCCAAGCTCCTTGCTGCACTCTTTGCCTTGGCCTTTGCTGTTGCTGCACGCAGTATCTCCTCTCTGCGTTCCTCGTAGCGATCCATCGCCGCTATGGCCCTCAGACCCTCGCGACGACTTCGTTCGGCCGCTCTCTGGTCGATGAAGGTCTCGCTCATCTGGCTCCATGCATCCATCTCTTCCTCCTCCATTGCATCGCCGCTGGTCAGACCCGGACACTCGCGAGTCCGATGACCAAAGTCGCCGCATGCCCGGCAACGACGGCGCTCGGTGAGTGCCATCCACTTGAGCGTCCGAGTCGCTATCACTTGAGTCAGCTGAAAACCCTGCGACACAAACATCTTGTTGACAACCTTCATCCCAAATCACAGCTTCACATGACTCTGGCATCTTATAATCTTCTGGAATCTCGATCACATGCTGCATGACATGGAACTCCTCAATGTTCATGAGATAGTGCCCACCTTGTGATTGCCTCATGCCATAGGCCTTGACCTTCAACCTTCGTGATGACAAAGTGTGAGAAGTGCAATCAAAAACTGCTCCAAGTTGAGTGCATGCTGGTCTGGATAAGAGAGGCGGGCATTCGCCATCCACAACTGAAAACATCAGAGCAACCGGTTTCTGTGCAAAAGTGGCCACAAACTGGATGTTAAAACGACTCTTGAGTGTTTGACCATTCCCAAAACGAAAGGTCTCTTCTTCTGATTCCACTCTCAGCCAACGCTTTTCATCTTTCCATTTCCTAATCAACTGGTTGGCCCACTTTACGCCACACACCGACCGCATGCATCCCAAATCCAGAATAACTGCACTAGCTAACTCATCCATGCACCACAAAACTCCATGATGATCTGCCCCAAAGACCCTATCTGCTCTGTCCCACGTTTGCAACCCTGCAGTCAGCGCCATGTATGACTCACCGGCGCCAAGCTTTGGGTTTGAAACGGAACACAGCGAAGCCAGAAGATCCCATTCGGCCTCCTCTGACACCGACAGACATGGTTTGGCATCCCTTTGAGATTGCAACCCATCATCGCCCCGCGTCTTTGTGCGAGACTTCTTCCAATGCCCCGCCACCAAGGTCTGTTGCCCATTCTGAGCCTTGGACTTGGGGCATTCCCGGCTCCAGTGGCCCAGTTCGCCACAATTGTGGCAATGCGTGTTCTTCATCTTCTCAGCCAGCTGACGCCGTCGCTGTTCAGGATCCTGCTTCTTGTAGAAGTTTCGCATCTTCTTCACCTCGGCCATGCGCTGCTTGGCTCGAAACTGCAAAGCGAACGCCTCCTTCTCTGCTTCAACGAGCTCAGGAGGAGCATCTTCATCAAAACTTTCCTCACCAGGTTCACCACAAAGACTCAAAGTGTCTTCCATGCCACCTTCACTCACTGCATCGAGGTTCTCTGCAGCCAAAGCCCCTCTGTAGTTGTTCTTGCGGTGGTTGAAAGAGGATTCTCTCTGAACCAAGTGCTCATCGCCATTGACACCCGCGAGGTTTGGCTCTGATTGCCCTATAGGACAGCCACTCTCACCCTCCAGCTCAGCAGATAGTTCAATCATCGCATTGGTCACGTTCTCCTCCGATTCCACACCTGCACGAGTGCGGATGAAAACCCTGTCTTTTCGACTCAGCCTCGCATGATCTAGAAGATGACCTACATAAAACTTCTCGCCCATCTCCAAGGAATTGTCCAAGCTGACCAACTGACTGCGATAGATAGATCCCCTAGTGACGTACGACTCTAAGGACTCATGGGGGTAGCGTGTGAGGTTCATGAGTTTCTTTCGATGCTGATCTATTCTATGTTTATCCAGCTGACGCACCAACGGACTCTTCTCCAACACCTGAAAAATCCTGGCCATTCCTCCAGGACAGTTCACGTCCTCGTTGTTCAAGTGCTTCACCAGCTGTGAAGCTCGGTCACGCAACTGCACCATGATTCTGGGACCTATCAGTTCCACTGGTATTTGACCACCTTCACCTCCTAGCCAAAAGGAAACTGATCTCTTCCAGTCATGATAGCTTTCTCCCTTCTTCGCTCTGAAAATTGGTGGGTAAGAACTACTGGGTTTGCCCTTGTATTTTCTCTCCCCAGCCATCTCTCCACCCACGTCCTTTGGTCCAGACGCGTCGCCAACTGCGCTCAGCTCACCTGAAGGGAGATTGCCGTGCCGATCAAAACCATGACCCGCCGGACTCATGGGAGAACATGGATCAACACCCTCTACATCGACTTTACCATGACATGAAGCCCCAGGATGCCCTTCATGAACCCGTGGACCCAGCCCTCCAGATAGTTCCCCAGGATCACCCGGAATACCGCCAACACCATGCCCTCGACCATGTGATAGCCCTGAGCCCCAACTACTTGCCTCCGACGAACCTTCATCCGTCCAGCGCCAATTCTCATAGCGCCCAGCTCCACGGTCTCTCGGAGCCTCGTCCACCCAAACCCAACGTCCGGAACTTCGTCCCGACCAGCTGCCACCTGAACTTGGACCCCAAGTCCAATTTTCATTTCTGCCACCAGAATGCCTCCATCCATAGCCTCGACTATGACCCTCGGAGTTGTCACTCCAGCGCTCATTCTCCAAATCGCGACGAGACTGTTCGTCACGAAACGAAACGCCCGAGCCACGGGAAAACTCACTCGAAGCCTCATCCCTGCCAGACTCAGCCGCACCAGTCTGGTAAACCTCAAAAGCCTCATAGTAAGACCGTGCCATGATTGGTGCCGGCACCCTAGGACTCCACCAGGCTCAAGCAGCACGGCCCCTTCACCAAAGCCACACCGCACCGCCGCCTCCACTCCACTATGGCCCCTGGATCTAACGCCACTAACCGGGCTCCGCTGCCACTAAAAAGTGGTCAGCGGTGGCAAAAACAACCTAACTGCAAGGCAACTCCACGGCCTTTTCCTGCCTGCCTAGGTCCGAGCACCAATGCTACGATCCGTTGGAAAATGAGTTTCGAAGTCACCTGGGCAAGCGCACGATTTGACAACAGTATGACTTGCTGCATCCAACAATCTAAGCGAGGCCCAACAATATATTATATATATATATATAATATATATATATATTATTTATATGCCGGCCGGGCTGTGAACACAATCCACCATCCCAAGGTCAACCACCTTTGGATCCCTTTGGATCCCTTTGGATCCCTTTGGAAACCACCAACCACATCCAAACACACAAGCAACATTTGGATCCTCTGGGTCGATGTCATCTGCAGCTTGTCCTTCAACCGCTGCCTGGGCCGCCTGCGCCTTCGATGGAAGGCACACTTTCACAAAGAACAGACCAGCGACAAGGAGGATGCAACAGGCAAGGCAGCACGCCACGAGGATCAGCAGCCAATGTACACCTGGCCGTTCTTGGGAGCCTGGAGCCGGAAGACCCGTCAGCTGAAGCTCGAAATCCAGGACGTCTGCACGAACGTTGGAACTGGCGGCCAAATTCTCGTTGATCGCAGCCTTCACCTCCTCCAGAGTCACGGCTGTGGGTGCCCAGTCGCTGGCAAGAGCCAAGGATGGAAAAGAACGACTGCAAGCATACTCCACAAGTACCACCTCTTTCATGTCAAGTAGACGGCGTGCATCTGAAGCGATGGTGATGTTTGCAATGGTCATGTTCAACTCGACAGCATCAATGCTGACATTCAGAACGGATGCAAGGGCGGTGGCAACAGCCTGTGTCACATTTGGATCAGTGGTAAATGTCTGAAGCAAGTCCGTGTATTCCAGCGCCAGGGGTGGCTCCTGACGCGGTTCTATGGTGATCACTCCAGTAACGAAGAGAGTCAAAGTCGTTGTGGTGGTCGTGGATATGGAGCTCGTCGTCGCCATGACCGTGCACGAAACAGGAGCGCCAGTCAGCACACGATCACTGCCACAAGTGTATGTCTCAGAATTTCCAGACCATCCTGGGTGTTTCGAAATGTTTCGAACATGTTCGAACCCTCGGTAGTCGAATGATGTCACTTATGGATACTTATGGTTAAACATCACAAAGAAGGTAGGAACAAGTTGTGGGAGTGGAACAACAATTTCAATGTATGAAATTACCGGCCAGCATCCAGCTCCACATGAGACCACACAAGTTTGATCCGTGGAAACATTCTCGCAATCGTGAGAGAGTCCTTCACCCGTCGGCAAGTTGTATATGCCTTGACCACTTTGACTAGGAACTGGCTGTATGACTGTGGGTCGAGCCATTTCCGGCCCACGCTCATGTGGTCATTCTACAAATATTCACGGACATTTTTTGGGACCAATGATGTTGCCACATACATCACATACCTGAATCATCCGAACTCTGATGTCACTGCCAAGTTATCCAAGTTGCAGGCTTGCGCAACGCAGTTTGGAATTTCCCCATGCAGCGCGAAACCATCGACTGGCTGGGACAAATTGGCTGTGCTTGTGCTCTCACTGCACGTCCATTCAACGACACCTGGCTGGACCCATAGAACATCACACAACGCCTGAAAACTCTTCAGGATAATATTATCTTGCAAGGGGAAAGGGGTCCTGATGGGAAGGGAATGGGAAGGGGTACTCATGAGCCTTGATAGAGGCATTCAAAATCATTCAAATTTTGGAATGGTGTTTAAAACTCAAGAATCTTAAATGGGAATTGTGACGGCTTTCCCAATTGTATTTTCTGTGCTGTGATGATTGTTTTGAATGTTTTTGTTTTGTTGAATGCTTTTTTTTTGGGGATGTTTCTGAATGTCTTTGAATGTGTTTGAACTGTTTTGATTTGTTTTGCATTTTCTTGGAATGTTTTTGAATTGAAGTGAATTCCGTGGAATGTTTTAGCATATTTTGTATCGAAAATGCCACAGGTGTACAATTTGTATACAATGGAAATGTTGTGGCATTGCTCTCAAGAGGCGGCAATGGTATGGAGAGTCGTAAGGCATGGAAGAGAATAAAAAGTGATGTTTGTTAATGTTTCGGTATGGAAACATATTTGTTATATTTGTTGGAATGGGGTTCAATTGTTTTGAATATTTTTGAATGAAAGAACAGTTTTCCGAATTGCGGCCATGATGTGATGAGTAGCCCTTGTGATGAGAAATTCCTGGTGATGTCCGAAAATGGAATCGGTTCGTGATTGAACTGCCTCTGTCTTAATGGGTTTTGCATCCAACACTTGGAAGATTGTGCCAACTGACCAAAAACCACTCTGCTGCCCATCAAAAGCCCGCCGTCACAGCAAGGTCCAATTCTTGAAAATGAACCCTCACTTACATAAGCCTTGGTCACCACCCCTGACTCAAAAGAAAAGTTGCAACTACAGAAATGCATCCTAATATCATTCATGGGCTTTGGCAAGTTTTGCCCTTCGATTACACACAGTTGGCGGTTGGCCACAAAGACCCACTCACCAGACACCTTCTTGAGCAACATAGCCCGCTTGGCAAAATGCAAAGCAACTTCGGTTTGCAGTAACACCTTGCAAGCAGAAGAGATACCAATTTGAAGTTGTGAGCTGGGTAGGTCTTGAACCATAACAATTCAACAACGATGGATCTCCGACCAAGTTAAAGTGCCCGTAGTGGTGGTGGACAAAAATGTGCTACTGGCTAGTTCAAGAAAAATTGGTGACATAGATCAAACTGACTAGCCATCTTTCAGATTGAGTCTTGGGGGCGTCTCCCTGTCTCCCACCTCCCAATTTCTTGACACTCTCTGGATGTGCTACAGTAGCAGCAGTAAGGGAGGTACAGCCGGGTACAACCATCTAAGCTGTACCAAATGCTCGCGAGCCTTACCTTAATCCGTAATCCCGGAATCCGTCTCAGAAGCCCCAAAGAGTCGAATCCGTAATCCGAGACCTAATCCGTAATCCGGTTTAAAGCATAGATAGGACGGTGACATTTCCAATCTGGGAACCAGAAATCCTGGCGAAAGTGCTTCGGCCGGGTTTGGCAGTGGACTTGCCAGAGCAAAGCCCTTTTAAGCAGAAATCAGGCCGAAAGTGCTTCAAAGGGGTTTGGCGGTGGACTTGCCAGAGCAAAGCCCTTTTAAGCAGAAATCAGGCCGAAAGTGCTTAAAAGGGCTTTGGCGGTGGACTTGCCAGAGCAAAGTCCTTTTTAGCAGAAATCGGGCCGAAAGTGCTTAAAAGGGCTTTGGCGGTGGACTTGCCAGAGCAAAGCCCCTTTTAAGCAGAAATCAGGCCGAAAGTGCTTAAAAGGGCTTTTGGCGGTGGACTTGCCAGAGCAAAGCCCTTTTTAGCAGAAATCAGGCCGAAAGTGCTTAAAAGGGCTTCGGCGGTGGACTTGCCAGAGCAAAGCCCTTTTTAGCAGAAATCAGGCCGAAAGTGCTTCAAAGGGCTTTCGCGGTGGACTTGCCACAGCAAAGCCCTTTTTAGCAGAAATCAGCCTGAAAGTGCTTAAAAGGGCTTTGGCGGTGGACTTGCCAGAGCAAAGCCCTTTTAAGCAGAAATCAGGCCGAAAGTGCTGAAAAGGGCTTTGGCGGTGGACTTGCCAGAGCAAAGCCCTTTTTAGCAGAAATCAGGCCGACAGTGCTTGAAAGGGCTTTGGCGGTGGACTTGCCAGAGCAAAGCCCTTTTAAGCAGAAATCAGCCCGAAAGTGCTTAAAAGGGCTTTGGCGGTGGACTTGCCAGAGCAAAGCCCTTTTAAGCAGAAATCAGGCCGAAAGTGCTTAAAAGGGCTTTGGCGCTGGACTTGCCAGAGCAAAGCCCTTTTTAGCAGAAATCGGGCCGAAAGTGCTTCAAAGGGCTTTGGCGGTGGACTTGCCAGAGAAAAGCCCTGTTTAGCAGAAATCAGGCCGAAAGTGCTTAAAAGGGCTTTGGCGGTGGACTTGCCAGAGCAAAGCCCTTTTAAGCAGAAATCAGGCCGAAAGTGCTTAAAAGGGCTTTGGCGGTGGACTTGCCAGAGCAAAGCCATTTTTAAGCAGAAATCAGCCCGAACTACTACTACTACTACTACTACTACAACTACAACTACAACAACAACAACAACAACAACTACTACTACTACTACTACTACTACTACTACTACTACTACTACTATACTACTACTAGAAGTATGAGTACGCGCGGGTTCCGCGCGTTATGCGCGTCTGCGTTTCGCGCGGGTTCCGCGCGTGTTGTTCTGCGCGGGTTCCGCGCGCGCGTCGTCGCATTCAAATTTCTTCAAGAAATTTATATATTGAGACGAATATTATTACTATTTCTACTAATTGCAACTTAACAAATATTACGATTAGTATCATTTCTACTACTACTACTACTACTACTACTACTACTACTAGAAGTATGAATAGTACGCGCGGGTTCCGTGCGTCATGCGCGTCTGCGTTTCGCGCGGGTTCCGCGCGTGTTGTTCTGCGCCAAATCCCTTTTAAGCACTTTCGGCCTGATTTCTGCTTAAAAGTGGTTTGCTCTGGCAAGTCCACCGCCAAAGCCCTTTTAAGCACTTTCGGCTTGATTTCTGCTTAAAAGGGGTTTGCTCTGGCAAGTTCTGCGCCAAATCCCTTTTAAGCACTTTCGGCCTGATTTCTGTTTAAAAGGGCTTTGCTCTGGCAAGTCCACCGCCAAAGCCCTTTTAAGCACTTTCGGCCTGATTTCTGCTTAAAAGGGGTTTGCTCTGGCAAGTCCAGCGCCAAAGCCCTTTGAAGCACTCTCGGCCTGATTTCTGCTAAAAAGGGCTTTGCTCTGGCAAGTCCACCGCCAAAGCCCTTTTAAGCACTTTCGGCCTGATTTCTGCTAAAAAGGGCTTTGCTCTGGCAAGTCCACCGCCAAACCCCTTTTAAGCACTTTCGGCCTGATTTCTGCTTAAAAGGGCTTTGCTCTGGCAAGTCCACCGCCAAAGCCCTTTTAAGCACTTTCGGCCTGATTTCTGCTTAAAAGGGCTTTGCTCTGGCAAGTCCACTGCCAAAGCCCTTTTAAAAAAAAAAAAAAAAACACAGGGGGGCAAACTTTCGGCCTGATTTCTGCTTAAAAGGGCTTTGCTCTGGCAAGTCCACCGCCAAAGCCCTTTTAAGCACTTTCGGCCTGATTTCTGCGCTTTGCTCTGGCAAGTCCAGCGCCAAAGCCCTTTTAAGCACTTTCGGCCTGATTTCTGCTAAAAAGGGCTTTGCTCTGGCAAGTCCACCGCCAAAGCCCTTTTAAGCACTTTCGGCCTGATTTCTGCTTTAAAGGGGTTTGCTCTGGCAAGTCCACCGCCAAAGCCCTTTTAAGCACTTTCGGCCTGATTTCTGCTTAAAAGGGCTTTGCTCTGGCAAGTCCACCGCCAAAGCCCTTTTAAGCACTTTCGGCCTGATTTCTGCTACAAAGGGCTTTGCTCTGGCAAGTCCACCGCCAAAGCCCTTTTAAGCACTTTCGGCCCGATTTCTGCTAAAAAGGGCTTTGCTCTGGCAAGTCCACCGCCAAAGCCCTTTTAAGCACTTTCGGCCTGATTTCTGCTAAAAAGGGCTTTGCTCTGGCAAGTCCACCGCCAAAGCCCTTTTAAGCACTTTCGGCCTGATTTCTGCTAAAAAGGGCTTTGCTCTGGCAAGTCCACCGCCAAAGCCCTTTTAAGCAGTTTCGGCCCGATTTCTGCTAAAAAGGGCTTTGCTCTGGCAAGTCCACCGCCAAAGCCCTTTTAAGCACTTTCGGCCTGATTTCTGCTTAAAAGGGCTTTGCTCTGGCAAGTCCACCGCCAAAG